AACAAATATACACGACTCTAATATGTAGAGGCAAGGCAAGGTTAAAATTTTGTATTTTCTAAAGAACGGGCGACAGGAATCTATTTGCTTCAACCCGAATATCGCTCTAATACACTTTTTTTGCATTATAAATGCTTGTTCTATCTCAACACATCGACCCCAAAGAATAACCCCATATCGCAATATGGAGGATATGTATCCGTGATACGCAGTCATTGCAGCCTCTCTCGATATTTCACGGCTGATACGTCTCAAGGGATAAACAAAACTATTAATTTTACCACAAACATCTTGCACTTGATTCTTCCAAGAGCAGAACTTGTCCAGTGTAATCCCAAGAAATTTCACTGACTCAACTTCTGACAGAGCTATCCCTTTATACATCACATTTAATTCGGCGGGTTTATTCCTGTAGGTATGAAACTGAATGAATTTAGTTTTATCTATATTAACTTTTAGGTTGTTCCCTTCTAGCCACTGTATAGTTGTCTGGAGCACGGTGTTTATTTCTCTCTCATAAGTACTTTTATTCTTACATTTTACGACAATAGTAGTATCATCCGCAAATAATACACATTCGTGGTTTATGACATTTGGAAAGTCGTTAATGTATAGCAAAAACAATGTAGGGCCCAAAATGCTACCTTGAGGCACACCGTATTCATTTGTCAAAAAGGAAGAACGATATAGTTCACGTGTTTTGGATATCTCATTATAACTTGAGATCTCCACCGCCTGTGTCCGATCAGATAAGTATGATTTTAGCCAGTCGTACGCTTTCCCTCTAATACCGTATCTATCAACCTTAGCTAGTAAGAGTTCATGACTTACATGATCAAATGCCTTGCTCATATCCATAAAAAGCACTGAAACCGGTATTTTGTTGTCCACTGAGTCCATTATTGATCTCACTAACCGAAATGCTGCCAAAGATGTGCTTCTGTTTCGACGAAAACCATTTTGTTCATCCCTTACAATTTTATGATTATCTATAAAGTTAATTAGTTTTTTCAGGAAAACCTTTTCAAAAACCTTTGCGAATATAGGTATCAGTGTGACGGGTCTGTAATTATCCATTTTAGTTTTTTCCCCCTTTTATACAATGGCTTGACTATTGACCTTTTCAGTACATCGGGAAACTCCCCCTCCCCCAATGAGAGATTAATAACGTATGAGAGCGGTTTCGAGATCACGTTAGCAGATAATTTTACAATATCAGTACGAATATCATCATAGCCCGTAGCTTTTGAATCGTTAAGAGTCCTTATTATGCTTTTTAAATCGGTTTCGCCAATAGGATACAAAAAAAGACTTATCAATTGATTGTATATTAATAATATTGGAAGTTGTAGATTGTTCTCCACCTGATCTAATTTTCGTAATTACGTCGATAAAAAAGTGATTAAAATGATTTGCAATAGATGCAGGACTCACATAATCTGTACTGTCAATTGTAATTTTCGAAATACACGTATTCTTTAAATCTGCGTCAGTGTGTTTTTTTATAATATTCCAGGCCGCTTTACACTTATTTGGAGCTTTAATTTATAATGTAATCTACTTTTACGTCTACAACTTATTTTTATACCTTTTGTAAGCCAATTTGATTTGTTTAGTGTTTTGTTAATCTTTTTTACGCGGATTATAGGAAAACATAATTTATAAAATAATAAATAGGTCATAAAATTTGTAAAATGATTCGTTTGTGGATTTTGCTTCAAATACGTCATGAAATGATAAGCTAGAGATTTCTTTTAAAAACTTTAACTTATTTTCAGTACAGTAATCTCGTTTGAGTTCATACCACCATTTCAACACTGGTTTTTTTCGTTCGTTAATTCTCCAAGAATAAGATTGGGCCGTGTGATCTGATAAACCAAGCTCAAGGACACTTGCAAAGCCGTTTTCGATGGTGGTTGAAATGTGGTCAATACAAGTCTTAGTTGTCTCCGTTACACGAGTGGGCGTTGAAATCATTTGTTTTAAGTTGTAATTGATTAGTAAATGGTTATAATCCCTACTATCCTTAGATTGCTTTAGAATATCTATATTTATATCGCCACACACAATAAATTTTTTTTTCGCATTACTACATAGCGTACTTAATAGACTATTTAGTTTATCTAAAAAAATCATGACATTCGATGAAGGTGTCCTATAAATACAGATTATTATAATTCCATACTTAATTAGTTCTAGACCACAGCATTCAAATACGCATGTTTCACATGTTTTCTCGGATGTTATCGAGGACGCTCGAAAGTTATTGAGGACGCTCGATAGATTTCGAGTAACTCTCGAAAGTGATCGAGGACGCTCGATAGATTTCGAGTAACTCTCGAAAGTGATCGAGGACGCTCGAAAGATTTCGAGGACGCTCGATAGATTTCAAGTAACTCTCGAAAGTGATCGAGGACGCTCGATACATTTCGAGTAACTCTCGAAAATTATCGAGGACGCTCGATAGATTTCGGGCAACTCTCGGATGTTATCGAGGACGCTCGAAAGTGATCGAGGACGCTCGATAGATATCGAGTAACTCTCGAAAATTATTGAGGACGCTCGATAGATTTCGAGTAACTCTCGAAAGTGATCGAGGATGCTCGAAAGATTTCGAGGACGCTCGATAGATTTCGAGGACGCTCGATAGATTTCGAGTAACTCTCGAAAGTGATCGAGGACGCTCGATAGATTTCGAGTAACTCTCGAAAGTGATCGAGGACGCTCGATAGATTTCGGGTAGCTCTCGAAAGTGATCGAGGACGCTCGAAAGATTTCGAGTAACTCTCGAAAGTGATCGAGGACGCTCGATAGATTTCGAGTAACTCTCGAAAGTGATCGAGGACGCTCGATAGATTTCGGGTAGCTCTCGAAAGTGATCGAGGACGCTCGATAGATTTCGAGTAACTCTCGAAAATTATCAAGGACGCTCGATAGATTTCGGGCAACTCTCGGATGTTATCGAGGACGCTCGAAAGTGATCGAGGACGCTCGATAGATTTCGAGTAACTCTCGAAATTTATTGAGGACGCTCGATAGATTTCGAGTAACTCTCGAAAGTGATCGAGGACGCTCGAAAGATTTCGAGGACGCTCGATAGATTTCGAGTAACTCTCGAAAGTGATCGAGGACGCTCGATAAATTTCGAGTAACTCTCGAAAGTTATCGAGGACCCTCGAAAGTGATCGAGGATGCTCGATAGATTTCGAGTAACTCTCGAATGTTATCGAGGAAGCTCGATAGATTTCGAGGACGCTTGATAGATTTCGAGTAACTCTCGAAAGTGATCGAGGACGCTTTATCAGTTTAACCCGTTGAAAATTATCCCCTAAATTTAAACCGTGACTACAACGTGACGTACTTTTGATTAAGAACACCCTTCATATTTAGGGCGCCACTGCCCCGTATAGGGCGCCAAAAAGTAAGCTCAGAAGGATTTTTGTATCGAATTGGGAGCGCCAGGTGTGAGCGGCTAGTAATAGATTCTCCTTATTTACCGGTCCTATCTTTTACAGGAACCGATTAAGGATACTTATATACAATTTGGGGCGCCATGCGCTCCCAACTGGTATAGGGCGGCAAAAAGTATTGCTAGAGGTATTCTTGTATCGGATTTGGGGTGCCATGAACATACCTACATACCCTTAACCGACGAGAATGCATGAAAAGATTGATGGCTGTTGATGAAGCAAAAGATGTAGGAATTGTAGCAATTGGTGTTTCTACCCTCTCCTACCCGCTATAGCTCTGCCTATCCAGGATATTAAAGCATAATTATACCATTCATATAGTTAGTATCACACAAAAACTACAGTTAATTACAGTTTCATTGTAATTGGATGGGTAGTTTTTGTGTGATACTTGCACATACAGACAGACAGAGAAAAGTAACACTCCCCACTTTTTTTTCCAATGTACAGAATTTATACTTCTATAGTCAGAATTTTAATTAGATTCCAGATTTGACAATAGCTACTGTCATTTTGTGAAATAATGATGCCACATATAATAGTGTAGTGATGCACACAAAAATCGATAAACAATCGGTATGTGTGTTTTATAATAAATGTTACAGAAAGTGACAGGATAGCGATAGCGATGACGGCGACAATTTATAAAATAACTTATTACCATGATACATCTATATGTTTTATTTGTCATGTTACTTCATGATTACATTTTTTTTATTTATTTCACACACAATTATAAAAGAAAAGTCTCAGATCGTTAATTTATCGTCAAAACTAAATTATCGGTTCAGAAATATTTAATTTACTGATATATTTAGTTTACAAGAGTAAAATTATAAACGAGAAGAATCGATCCAGAAATATTGCATTTCCATATCGAATAATTTCGCAACGTCACTATTTAGTACTTGTCATAACGTTGCAACACTGAAATTGTCAAATCTGGAATCGAATTAAAATTCCGAGTATAGTTTTATTACTAGAACTAGAAGTTTTATACATCACGTCAAAATGAAGGAAAGGGGAATGTCGGAATGTAGGAACGAGTGTAAAGCCACTGACAGAAGCTAGTAAATAAATAACTCAAATGAGCTTTTTAATGTTCAATGATATAGGTATCATTTATTGTGCATTGTAGTATGTGATCAGTTTCCAATAGAATACAAATATAACTACACAGTATTTCCTACATTCAATGAAAAAAGTCATGAATTCAAACCTAATATTATTAGAACAATTTAGAATATCATAAAATTCTATTTATTAATTAATTAAATTACACTTTTGATAACTTCTCAATACATGCCTTATTTATTCAGTAATTACTATACAATAATATTTAAATATTGTACTAACTATTCAAATGCCAAACACTAATTTGTTATGATTAATATTTGTTTACAATTGAATTATATTACTAAAATAATTAACTTCTACAGAATATATTTATTTAAGAATATTAACTGCTTGAAATCCGATTTATGAGACACAATAGAAAATACTTTGTGTATTTGTGTCTCGCGTGGATAAGCACACAACAGGTTAATAAGTAGATAATATTGCATTTTCTATATCAATCAAACAAAGAAGAGTCTTGACACATGGGCAGAATACATTTACAAACACTTGATAACAAGAATGCAGTTTTATGCACATAGTCTCTTGCACTAAAGGCATTAAAGTTTGTATCAAGTACTGGTGCTTGAAGATGTCATGTTGCCATTCTGAACATTTCCTGACACGGACCTCGTAGCAGATAGGTGAGAAGCCTTCAATCGGTCCAGCTCATTCACCCAAGAGCGGACATGCTCTAGTCTATGCCATGCCATCTGCAATACTTTCTGTGATGCATAACCTGACCCTTCGTGAGGTTGCCCAGTAGAAACTTGGGTCAAATAGTTGATCTGATCACTTAGCTTTGATTCCACTTGACTCAAAGTTCTCAGAAATTGTGAAGTGTTTGTTTCCGCTTGTTTCTGACCCGACTTTTCTTTGCTCAGCTCCAGCAGGGCTTGAGCTGAAATAAGGATTTCATTGTTAGTTTGTCTAACAAAATATTGAAATGGTCTGCAATATAAAATTTCCAACCAATTCTTACCTGCACATTGAAGACATGTTATTATATCTTTTTCAATATCATCAAGTATTTGAATCCTTTCCATGGGAGCAGTCATTTCGACAAATAACTTTAACAACCTTTAGAATTAGCACCTCACAAAAGGATAGCAAGATATACGACGGTAAGTGATGCTGATGGTACCCAAGTCCTTGCCTGACTCAAATCGCAAGATTACGATCACAAGTTCGTAACAAAAAGATGCTCAAGAAACCAAAAACAGACAAGCAAAAGAAAGAACTTCTCATTCTCACTCACAAGACAGACCACACCTGTCACTGTCATAAGTGTCATAGTGACACCAACTTTCCACCAAGCGAAGTCGAGTCGCGAGTTGTCTTTCTCAATTTTAAATCGATTATCTATCGATAATTCATTGCCCATTTCACCCTATAATCTATCACTACATAGTTTATAACAAAGTAGCTGTCCGCCGTCTGTCAGGTCAGTCCCTATGTATGCTTAGATCTTTAAAACTACTAAACGAATTTTGATGCGGTTTTTCGCAAAAAATAGGGTAATTTGAGTGATTGTGTTTATATGTATAATACATGCATATTGCACCCATGCGAAGCCGGGGCGGGTCGCTAATATACATATAAAAATGAAAACCTTTTTCTCCTTGGTCACGGCATCACGCGTGAATGGCTGGACTGATTTCACTAATTCTTCTTTTTAAATTAGATAAAATTAATGAATATCAAAACTGATTGAGTCGTAATATTTATAAGTTGCCTTGCCATAAGTATAATACTATACTTTATGTACTTACAATGGTAAGTAAAGTAAGATGAGGATGAGAATGCCCATACATCACATAATGTCAGTGTTAGGTACTATTATTTCCATATATTATCCTACTACTGGGTTTAAAAAAAAATCCCAGTAGTAGCACGGAGTCTGGAAATGTGCCCGGTATATAGGACTATTATACCCCCTAAACATCACTCTCATATAAATAGGACTCATAACATAAATAGTGAAAAGTGGGTGGTTATATTGTACAGTGGCATAATGTATGTACACCTCTGCCTCCCCCTTTGGGGATAAAATGCGTGATGTTATGTTACTCTTTAATAAGTTTGATACTTACTGTTGTATTGCTTAATGTGGCGGGCCACGGATAACCTCAACCTACCGCTATAAAAAGTAGAGTAGCTGATAACTCACATCACAATACGTATTTTCACAATAAAGTTATTTTCTAATTAAGTACATGGTAACATTATTACTTTTGACAGTTTCCAGTTCATGACAGCTCACGCATAAACTCCTTTTCAATCGGCCATTTTTGTCGCGACTGTCTACGAACATGGTAGGTGTTCACCAGCAAATCTGTAATTATTTTGTCAATCTTGTGGTTTTACTATAGTGTTCCTAATTATTTATTTTGAATATGGTGTATTGTAATCTTGTGTTATAATATTATCCTAATCTATTAACTATTTTGTTAATTTACGCAGTGGTCGTGAAAACATGCAAATGATGATCTCCTATCTTTATAATATACGGTTAGAACCTGAGTTCTATGTGAAGATTTTACTAGGGCGGACTGATGTTTATGTCTATACACTCCGTTAAAGTTTTTCTCCACGTGCAATGTAAGTAATATGTGCAATCTGGTTGCAGTCGCATAGAAAGTTTTCGGCGCCCCGTCATGGGTCCATGGGATTCTACCCCAAGAAGAGGTCCCGCCGTCATCGTGGTAAAGTAAAGGCATTCCCCAAAGATGATGCTAGCAAGCCAGTCCACCTTACCGCCTTCATCGGCTACAAGGCCGGTATGACCCACGTGGTTCGTGAACCCGACCGTCCTGGATCAAGTAAGTTTCGAATAACACTTTCTTTGATAATTTTACTGTGTTCTTGTATTGAGAAGAAATGTGTAACAAGACCAAATAATTTTTTAGAGATCAACAAGAAGGAGATCGTAGAGGCTGTGACTATCATCGAGACGCCACCAATGGTGTGCGTTGGTGTGGTTGGTTACATCGAAACTCCTCACGGTCTCCGCGCTCTGCTCACTGTTTGGGCCGAGCACATGTCCGAGGACTGCCGTCGTCGCTTCTACAAGAACTGGTAAATATTTATCTTATCACTTGATGTCCAACTAAGTAAAATGCCAGCATTACTATTTCTGTTTCTACCATATTGATGCATTCATTATACAATGTTTCTAATCAAAACCTATAGCTCTCCTCTTGGAAATGAGAGTTCTATGTTAGATATGCCCAGTGCATATTGCTACCAATTGGTCTCCGCTCAACGATGAGGCCTTTTGGTTTTTTCTTACAGCAGGCAATTTATGATTCACCAGGTACAAATGCAAGAAGAAGGCATTCACTAAGGCCAGTAAGAAATGGCAAGATGAGCTTGGACGCAAGTCCATTGAGAAGGACTTCAAGAAAATGATCCGCTACTGCAGTGTGGTCAGGGTAATCGCTCACACCCAGATGAAGCTGTTGAAACAGCGTCAAAAGAAAGCTCACATCATGGAGATCCAAGTTAATGGTGGAACCATTGAAGACAAAGTCAATTGGGCTAGGGAACACCTAGAAAAGCCCATTCCTATAGACTCTGTGTTTGCTCAGGATGAGATGATTGACTGCATTGGTGTCACCAAGGGTAAAGGATACAAAGGTATGGATCATTTTGACTTGTTCTGATCTTCGTTTTTTTATTTGTATCAATAATTGTAGACTGATAATATTTTTATTCCATAGGTGTGACCTCACGTTGGCACACAAAGAAGCTGCCCCGCAAGACGCACAAGGGTCTGCGTAAGGTAGCTTGTATTGGAGCATGGCATCCTTCTAGAGTGTCATTCACTGTTGCCCGTGCTGGTCAGAAGGGCTACCACCACCGTACAGAGATGAACAAAAAGATCTACCGTATTGGACAAGGTTTGTCATTATTTAAGTCACAATAATTCCTCTTGAATAAGTACCACAAAGAGATGAAATAAGACTTAATTTTATCAATTTTTTGTTTGCAGGAATCCACACCAAGGATGGCAAGGTTATTAAGAACAATGCTTCTACTGAATATGACTTGTCTGAGAAGTCCATCACCCCCATGGGTGGTTTCCCCCACTATGGAGAAGTCAACAATGACTTTGTCATGATTAAGGGTTGCTGTATGGGACCCAAGAAGCGTGTCATCACTTTGAGGAAGGTGTGTATCTAAAACAATGTGATATAACCATTTGTACATATTTGGTGTGCAGTTAATAAAATGATAATATGGAACTAATTTCGGATCCATTTCTAATATATATTTTATTTGTAATTCCAGTCCCTGCGCACCCACACGAAGAGAGCCGCTCTTGAGAAGATCAACCTCAAGTTTATCGACACATCGTCCAAGTTTGGTCATGGTCGCTTCCAGACGCCGGCTGACAAGGCTGCCTTCATGGGAACCCTCAAGAAGGATCGCATTCGTGAGGAAGCTGCGGCTACCACCGCCCCCGCGGCTCCCGCCCAGTCTTGAACATCTGTTTAGACAAATAAAAATAAGAAAAACTTAATACGTCTTTTTTATAGAAAAACAATTTCATCCTTGTGTTGTCTTGTCACCTCAGGTTTATGTCACTGTTTGCTAGTATTGAGTGTAGTGTGTCCACTCGTAATTGGTACTTTCCAATTTATTTGAGTCTTAGCTCAAGATGTAGATGAATGTTTAGATTTTCCACCAGAGACTCCACCGGCGCCTTTCCTTTCTATCGTAATAAATAAATACCTACCTAAGGTTATTTTGTAATAAGTACATTTTAATAAAATCTAGTAAAATACGTCTTTAGCCTCAAGCCTCAAATGTTAAACCGTAATTATTTCAATATTCCCATTAGAAAGAAAAAGGATGGCTGGCTGGGGTAACGTTACCTTTACTAGAGTGGACCGCTCGCCTGCCGTGCTAGATACCTCCAGAGCTGTTCACACGTACTCGGCTGTTGGAAATGTTTTCTATTAGGTACCTATCACCACTTCATGGTAGCATATCGGTACCTACATATTATATAGGTCTCCTGGGCAATATGCTAAAAAAATTGCCGATAGATTTGAATAAAAATCTCAAATAGCACACGGATCTAGGTAGGTACTAATATTATAATTGGAAAGTGAGTTTGTTCCGCTTTCACGCCGTAACTACTAAACCGATTGCTTTGAATTTTTGCAGACGTAAAGTTAGTCTGGTTAAATAGTAGGGTACTTTTAATCCCGGAAAAATTTAATATTCCCGAGGGAAAACGAAAGTATTGGTATAGATGGCGCTGTGTGTATTGCTATATGTCACCTAAGCTACTTTTTATCCTTTTGTGACGCGATCGAAGCCGCGGGTAAAAGCTAGTATGAAATAAGTTAGAAAAAAAAATGGATTAGGTTCTTTGGCTTCAATGTGACTGAATCCAGGGGTCCATGTCTTTCAAATCAAAATTTACAAGCGGTAAAATTAGGTAAACGCATACCTTAAATAGGTACCTATGTAATATATGTTTCTTATGGATAAGCCGGTAAACGAGCAGACGGATCACCAACATACAAGTTCGTTACCGGCCCTTTGTGGATTAAGAATTTGAGGATTGTTGGGGATTCAGGAGAGGGGAGTAATGTAACTTCACTCACATGACGAAACGTCGTCGTTGCTTGACTTTGGTTTTCTGTGAGGCGGTGGCATAACCCCGGTGGTCGGTACCACCGGCCCATTCATGCCGAAGCATGGATCTCTCACAAGATGTGCTTGGTTATAAAAATAAACAACAGAAAAACATAATATACAGTTTAATACATTGAGAAAATATAACATTATTTTACGCCCAATACTAGTTATGTTTTTTATAACTAATATCAATAAAATTTTATTTTATTGGCTAGATTTTTCAAAATAATTATTTTTCTTTATGTACCTAATACATTGTAACACTATATTACGTTCTTGCCTAATTTCATTTTGCAACAGTTTTTGGAGAAGTGTCGATGGTACTTTTCGTTTTGTCTTATAGTTAGGTTTCTCTACATTTTTCGGTGGGATAACACTTTTTACTACAGGTTTTTCTTTATTTCTTGTTATTTCTTGAGCTGCATCATGCTCAACATTATTTTTTTCTATTTTTACTTCCTCTGGTGCATCATCATCATCACTTTCATTTTTCTCAACTTTAGGTGGATTTTCTATGGGCTTAATTTTACTTTCATTTAATGATTCAACTTCTTTCTTGTCTGGTACCACTAATTTATTTATTTCTTCATTTTCTTTTTCTTCAGTTTCTTCGTCTGTTGACCCATATTCACACATGAGGGATGTCAAAGCTCCACATAGCACAGGATTCTTATTTGAAGTTTCTTTAGGAACTTCTATTGTTGCATCATAGTCATCATCAAACAGTTCATTACTATTTTCTTCTGTTTCTGGAACTTCTTCAGCACTGTCATCCATCTGTATACTGAGAATGCCAGCAAATGGTTTGAGCTTATTCTTTTCAACTGTAGCAGGTGGAGTGGGAATATTTTTCGGTTTCTTCTTTGGAGGTTCAGAAGTATTTGTAGATATTGTTGTATTTGGTTTGGAGTTTTGTCTGTTCCCCCAATTTTGTCGATTTGTTCTAGGATTCTGATTCCATTTGTCAGTGCCTAGTTTTCTCTTGACACCAGGACCATCGTGACCTGAAAAGAAAATAAGAACAATGTTTTAACACAACGAAAAGGTGAGGTTCACACCTTGTTTATAGTATAGATTGTGAGGCAAATAAGATTATTACCTGATTGCTTTCTATGGTTCCTATGATCACGGTTCAAGTTCATTTTTTCTCCTCTAGCAATTTTTTCCTGATGTTCAGCCTCCTTTTTTTCTATATTCACTTTTGTGGGATATTTCTTTTTTCTTTCCTCCCTCCATTTTTGTATTTCTTCAGGGTTGTTCAAGTTTGCAATCTTCTTATACAATCCAGTTGAATGTTGCATTTGTATGTGTTTTGTGATAACTTTTGGATGAGCAACAAATTGGCAGCCATCTATATTGCATTTCTGAAAATAACACATGTTTATTTTCATTTACAAATTTTTAAAGTCAAACAAAATAATTCACATGTAATATGTATTGCATTGAAGATCAGTATGCCTAGCATAGCAATCACCATCCTGACTTTAAGTCATCATGTTGTAATTTGGTGGTAATAATTGCTACCCAGAGTAGCTCGGTTTCTAAAGGACCTATTTCAGAGTTTATCAGGCCCAGTGAAGCATTGTTGGTTTAAATGAGTACTTCTACTCTTATAGATAATAGTGTTGAGGTCTAATTTCTTTTAGAACCAATATGACTTCATTTTATCTACTTTATTGATTAAATTATTTAAAATGGATAGTTTACCTGATGTTGTTGTTTGTGTTTTTCAAGAATTTCTTCTGTAGGAAACCCTCTGTCACATGTCTCACACCAATGTTCCTCACTATTTTGATTTTCTGTTTTCATGACTGGTGGTCCAAACCTCGGATTGTTCCACGGTAATCGTGGTGGTCCTCGAGGTCTCCAATGATTTTGATGAGGCATATGCCCTCGGCCGAAATTATTCATCATTCGTGGACGCGGTGGTCTATTCATTTTACAGCACAGTAGTCGTATTATTTTTATTCAAATATAATTGTTAAATTATAGAAAAAGAAACTATTATACCTTACAGGTAACTACTTTTCACTTAACACTACAATATTGTCTTTTAAAGCTTTAGCGTATTGACTACAAATTATAGTATTCACAAAATAATAACCAACTTCTATAACTCTCAATAGCATGTAAATAAACATAACCTCAATTTAACCAACTGTCAAATTTTAACATGCAGTTCCATAGACAAATGCAGTGTTGCCAGTGCAACAACATAATTATCAAAGTGCAACAAAGACAAACAGTCGTAAATAGTTACGGGTCGTAATAGTAAAGGGTAATCCGACTACACGATGTTATAATGATTTTCCATTAAATTTTTTAGGTACTACCAATAATTTGCAAATTACAGATACTAAATTCGACTAAAAAGTATGACAACTCGACTATTTGTCACTGACAGCCGACAGAACTGACAGTAGTGACAGTGTATTTGTCATATTCAATTGACATTTAGGAATTTTGGAACTACCGCGAGGTCGTTTTTTGTTTACGTTTTTACAGATACATTTAGTTTGGTACCTCTTAAATTTGTGTAGTAAACAATGAATAATTCTGTAGCAAGTTCGGCGGCAAAGGTACATAAGAAAAACAAAAATTATCAACCTGAAATTTCATTCATTTATCTCATGTTCAATATGTACATAATTTTTTTTCAGGTTGGAGAAATATTTACCGAAGCTGGAGCTGCTTTTAATAAATTAGCGGATTTAGCAATGACACTACATCCTATGGGAGAGCCAAGTATTAGGTAAGATGTTCAAAGTAAATAACTAGCTGCTTTTGGATCCAAGCCATCAATCTATAATAGTAAGAATGTAACTTGTCTTGTTTATCTTATTTGAAAGATAAGTTATATAGTTTTAACTGACTTTCCAAAAAGGAGGAGGTTCTCAATTCTGCCAGTATCTTTTCCGACTTCTTAAGTTTTAATGGGTGTTGTGGGTAGGCACTAAGTACAATGAATAATAATTGTTTTTTGGGTTTTAGTTTGTGGTTTTCGAAGCCATTTTTTTGTGACTTTATTGTATAGAATTAATGTTGTACTTTCCAGTCAGCAGCCTAAAACACCTGTAAAGAAGAAAGCAGTAGAAGAAAGAACAATAGCCAGTGCCAGTATACCAGCCCATACACAGCATAATATCCACTCTGCACCTTTATCCCAACAGGTTGTTAATGACACAGTTAACTATTTTATTATCCTACTGAAATTATTTACAATAGTTTCAATCACTTAAACACAGTTCACCTTTTTTCATAAAGTTATTTGGTGTTATTATCTTAGTTTGTTTTTATTACACATCACCAACAACAATATTCTTAAGGTGAAGCTGCAAAGGCAGACCATTAATTATCTATATACCTACACCTTTTCTATTTTTATTTTTTAACTAGCTACTTCTGTGCAGTTTCACCTGCTTTGCTCGGCTTCTATTGATCTTAGTATGATGTTTTATAGCTTATAAACTTCTTCAACAAATGGACAATCTAACATAAGAAGAACTATTCAAATAGGACAAGTAGTTCCAGAGATTAATGTGTTCAAATAAATACAAAATCTTCAGTTTTATACAATAGTATGTAATATTTACCCACACCAGTATTTTACTCAAGATACCTAGTTGTTGTAAATGTGCTACTCATGAAATACAAAAAATAATACTTAAAGAAAAAAGAAATAAGTTCCTAAAAGTCCCTGTTGCATTCTAAACTATTTAAAAAACAACCAAAGTTGATTTTATTGTATATTTATTTTCAGGTAACACTGAACATGCTAAATGCTCAAGAAACAGAAATAGACACAGATGGATTAGGCGGGGATGTCAAGTTGGAGTTTGAATCGAGCACAGATGAAGTGACCACATGATATTTACTGTAACTTATAATTTAATCATTTATTTATAAGTAGACATTACCTATTTTGAATTATTCTTACAAAATCCTGTGTATCATTAGGCAAAGAAGATTACAAAGGAACTCTTTAGTTATAATCTTCTTTGTCTATGTAAAGACTTGGATAGCCAACATAAGTAGAGTGTTTGTGGCATTAGACTATCTCCTATTTCTTGTCTTTACATCTTTGATAACATACTTAACTTACAAAATTGTTTAACTTTATTTTATTTTTTTTAATATAAGATATAGCTTGTAACAGTCCCGTGCTGGACTTTGAGCGCATTTGAAATATGAACTTAAAATTTTATCAGAAGGTAGTGCTAAAATAAAAATACTGACAATCAAATTCAAATTCAAGACAAATTAAAAAAAAAGAAGTATTCAAAATAGGTCTAGGTATTTCATAAGTATGTAATGTTTATTCTAAATCTAAATAAGACGAAATGTAATGCAAAATCAGTTTACAGTACATAATATTAGTTCTGTCTGTCACATATCAGTAAGTGATGTATCCTTAAAATGTTAAATATTAGTGGGCTGAATAACTAACTAGTAAGAAAGTAAAAAAAAAATACAGTTGAATTAAGAACTTTATTTATTTTAAGTTAATTGAAAATTAACCAGTGTAATTGTATGCTCTTTTGTAAATGAATATGTGCCAAAGTATGTATCAAAAGTAATATAATATTATCTGAGTGAGAATTAAGTACCATTAAACTGTCAAACACCAAGCGGTCACCGGTGACCGCGACCTATTGTTCTTTAATTGTGTCTATAAAACCGGTACTCGACGAGTTAATATAAATTCAAAACATTGCTGTTATAAAAACTAATTATTTTTTTCTTTTGTTGACTTACTGAATTGTATTTCTTCAGTTTATGAATTTTATGAGATAAAACTGACTGCCTCGTTGGTCAGGCAAAGTAGTACTGGGTTTTTTTAAGAAAACTTAGTAGTTGTATGGAGTCTGGAATTGTGCCCAGTATATAGCAATAGGCGCACCCCCTTTTATATGGGACTCATAACTAAAATAGTGAAAAGTGGGTGTTACATTGTACAATAGCATTAAGTGTCGTAATCTACTAACCCTTTTGGATAAAATGTGTGATGTACACATGATAACATATATCAAATAAAAATGCATACAAAACTTAAGTAGGTAGGTTTCATTTAATTCTCTTTTAATATGACATGAAATTGTAAATACTGTTTCTTAAAGATACAAAAAAAAAATATTAAAAAAATATTGAACATTATTTGTGTTTCATTTTTAACACTTGAGTACATTATAATTATTCTCTTTTTTACTTGTACTTATAAATAAATAACGACTTTTTAAAGGAATATTTATTAGTTTTGTACTGGAGAACTTAGTCTATGGAAGCTTTGAACTCTTCTATTCCAAGAGGAAAATTGAGATTCATAAGTTTTAAAGTGAGTGCCCTCAGACAAAGTCTTTTCAATAACCATATCAACATCACTTTTAATTTTCAATGACTCATACAAATCAAAGGTATTCCCCGACTTCTTAACCCTTCTTTGGGCATTTCTATAGCACTTCCATGGTTGTGGCTCAATTATAATTGTTCTAGATATAGATTTTAAATATTTTAAAAAGTCTAGCAACCCTGCATCACCATTGTTTAAATGAATCCACATGGTTACTGAAAAACAGAATGATAAGTCAAAAGATTTTTGATTACAAGAGTCCAAATAACTTTGGATGAGTAGTCGGTCTTTTTGCTCCATAATATTGCAAGTTACAAATTTAATAAAAGGATTATCATTAGTTTCTTTAGCTCTTTCTATCAACGTAGAATCAATGTCCACTGCTAACATATGAATATCACAAGTTGCATAAATAGTTTTTAAATACACGTATATAGCTTTAGATAAGTCTCCTGTGTTGCAACCTATATCTAGACACACGATCTGCTTATTCACAGGTTCTGGAAACATTTGGGGATGTAGATTTTGAATTCTTTCACTTACATCATGAAATGAATAATAGTTTATAAAGTTTCCAAACTTCACAGCGCCTGGGTCACTCCCGTAAAAGTTAAGATCATTTGATTTTACTTCACTTTCACCGTTCATTTTATAGAATTGGTTTTTTCAGGAAACTAATAAATTGGTACACGATATTTTGTAACGTTTACATGCCATTTGGCAGGGCCGTCACACTTAGAGCCATTGACAGCTTAAAAAATCGGACCGTCAACTACATCTAGTTTTCGAACCTGGAATTAAATGTTGTCAAAACTAATATTTTCAGTGGCCACACAGTTCCAAGCAAGGTTGCAACATTATTTTAAAATTTAGGCTTAAAATAATATTTTTTGGAAATAGTAAAATAACATTATACACATTTATTTAATACTATATTGCAATTTTTACAAAATAATTCCTTAAACTTAGATCAAATGACAGTTATGCTGGCATAATCGATCAAAGATGACAGCCTCTTTACTAATAATAGAGATTAAAAAGATATTAAGAGATGGATGCCAAACTAAACTCTATGAAGTGACTGCGTCAGGTTTCTGCATCCAAAAGCATTAACCTAAGAGCCTGTGAACCTCAGGTCTAGGCCACCGTTTTTATTATATAAAAACTAATATTATATGAAAATACTCAATTTTCATAGAAAATCTATAAAATAGGTTGCACGCATTCTTTCTGTCTCTCTATCACACACACACACACACATTCACACACATACTTAATCTTTCTCGATAAATGCACTAACTCTATTTCGTTCAGTCATCATCTCTGATTTACAATTTGACAACACCATCATTTTCACCACCCTCGAGAACCATGAAAACGACACCTATAACGATAAATTGAAAATATCGTGCAGCCGCCATCTTGGATTTGCATTTTGACAGCACCATCGGTTTTACCACCCTCGAAAACAATGAAAACGACACCCATGACGATAAATTCAAAATTTTGTGCAGACGCCATCTTGGTTTACATTTTGACAACACCATCGGCTTTATCACCCTCGAAAACCATGAAAACGACACCCATGACGATAAATTCAAAATTTCGTACAGCCGCCATCTTGGATTTGCATTTTGACAGCACCATCGGCTTTATCACCCTCGAAAACCATGACAACGACACCCATGACGATATATTCAAAATTTTGTGCAGACGCCATCTTTGATTTACATTTTGACGACACCATCGGTTTTATCACCCTCGAAAGCCATGAAAAGGACACCCATGACGATAAATTGAAAAATTTTGTGCGCACGCCATCTTGGATTTACAATTTGACAGGACCATCGGCTTTATCACCCTCGAAAACCATGAAAACGACACCCATGACGATAAATTCAAAATTTTGTGCAGACGTCAGCCCTGTTCATTTCCATTTGCTGATTTACTTTATCCAAGTTTTCGAAGATATTATTCATAATAGCTAGTCATTACGAATAATATCAAATTAATCACTTTGGCTGTAACATATGTATATACATTTAGGTCAAACTGATACTCCTTTTTAGAAGTCGGTTAAAAAAGAATCATCAAAATACGTTAAAAAACGACGAAGTCATCCCTGAAGGAACATAAAAAAACCTTATAGGTATATAACTTTTCCTGTTTTTAAGTCCGTTATAAATAACAAAGGTCTGGGGTTCATAGGCTCTTGTACTATATGGATTGTCAAATTATTATTTTTTACGGCAACGCTGGGGCTAAAAAAATATTAAAACATTACAATAATAATTTTCCAAATTATTTAGATAATAAATAACTATTAAAATAATATTGTTAATAATTAGATATTGATATTAAATACTTTTTATATTATCTCCTTATTTCTATAAATAGTATGCATGTAGTTTGTACTATTTTAATACTGGCATATAATATGTATACTTTTTGCTTGATAAAGAAAAGAAACAAAAACAAAAATTTGAAATGTCAAAATTGTAAAAATTTTTGCCAAAAATATTTTAAATTATTTAATAATTTGTGATGGGATTTTGTGATTGTTTTTCTAAAAAAGTAAGTTCTGCGATGCGTGTTGTGTTTTCTATAAAGGACCTTTTGTATACATGTGTATCAAAAATCACAAAAGTACATTGTGTTTGTTTGTCTATTCATTGGACTTGATTTTACAAAGGAACGCTTTAATTAGCGTATATATCTTATTTATAATAAAGAACATCAATACGAAGAATACATCATGTTGCTGAAGGTAAAACCTACAACAAGTTTATGATTTTTGCTATTGAACCTATTTATACATTTTATTTGATTCATTGAGATACCAAACTATGTAGTTTTTATAAATTTCTACTTTTTCTTTTGTATATTTGTTACAGTGATATTTGGAATTGCTATTGCATCGATATTACTTCTGCATCGATATTACTTCAGCATCATCATTGCAGAATATCAATCGTGCAATTTTTTATCGGCAGTTACGAGTCTTACGATGTCCGGATAAAGTGCCGATCTATACCAGCAGTGCTTGAAACCTATTTTAGAGATGGTAAATACTATATTATTCTTGTAACATCAGTAATAATACGTAAGGTACACCTACCTTAGATAAATAAAAGAAAACAAATAAATAAAATACATATTTCTGCATGTAAAAATAATCTTTGTTTTTTTTTCAGGTACTATTTGGAATTATTCTAACATTCAGACGTAGTTATATTGTTGTCTCAAGAAACAAGAAACCCATAGATCGCTGCAAATATTAAAGCCGTATTATTTTTGTAAAACTATTTTTATCTTTGTATTAATGTATATATCATAATTAGAACAACATTTTAAGTACCTACGCACAACAAAGTAATATTAAATTATAAATAAACTGAAATAGGTACATATTCACACCTTAAAAAAAATGTTACCTTATTAGGGCATCAAAAAATTATTTTTCATCGCTATCGTGGAGTAGGGTGCCTAAAAGACTGGCAGCATTATTCTAGGTTTTACTTATTTGTATTCATATATGTAGAGGTCTCTCCTTCTTGGGCTTGACCTGGTGAAAATGGGCACCGCTTCCCGCAACCCGCAGGAAAAACGATGCTCATAGCCCCTTCTAAATTTGACTTATAATCTCCTTCTTTCTCTTCTGCTGACTACTTGACTACTAACTGGGTGTAGTTTGTGTGCCAGATGTGGATTGTGAGCTTCATGTGATGGTTTACTGAGTGGTATGTGGTGTTTGCGCTTGAGATGGTTGTAATTGATCGGAATCTGGAATGTATGTGACGAAAACTGTGTCTCCTAGTACTTTGCTAAGAATGATTATTGTTTGAATGGTGGCTAATGTCTATTTATGTTTCTAGTTTTTCTGTGTATCTGTTGAGGCTTTTGGCTAGTACCTACTCCTGTGGCTCCAATTACTATAGAATTAACATGCGTTTCAATATTTCAAGGCGTCTGAGTTGTGTCTTTAAAAAGTGGTATTTACTGAATTTCTTTTGCTCCTATGTTGTAGTTACATATGGTATAGTTATGTCAAAGAGGTATGTGGTGTTGGATGTTTTGTTTGTGTATATTATGTCCGGTCTGTTGTGGGCAACTGTGAAGTCTGTCTGAATTGGGATTTCCCACATTATTTTGCCTGTTTCATTTTCATTTGTATTTATAATAATAATTATATTACTTTGTTTCATTATAATGTTATAAAAATATTATATTTGAGGATAGGAAAAATCTGTAGTTGTTTAGTAAAAATGACTGTAATATAACTAGATATAGGAAACGACTAAGTCAGGCATTATTAGCAACTAGCAAAAAAAGTACTAAAAAACTGAGACTGACTGAGAGGCAGACTGAGACTTATTTTTAAGCACTATATTTTTCGACATTATAATAATAAGTGCGACTGCCGGGCAAGGGGTCTCGGGTTCGATACCCGGGTCGGGCAAAGTATTACTAGGTTTTAAAAAAATCTCAGTAGTAGTAGAGTAGTCTGGAAATGTGCCCGGTATATGGCAATAGGCTCACCCCCTATTACATGGGACTTATAACATAAATAGTGAAAAGTGGGTGTTACATTGTACAGTGGCATTGAGTGCCGAAATGTGCACCTCTGCCTACCCCTTCGGGGATAAAAAGGCGTGATGTTATGTATGTTATGTAAATTGTATAATAATTTTGTGTTTTTGTAAATACTGTAAGCGATTCAAATCGATGGTAAAATGTACTACATTTGTGTAGGTATTACGGTTAATTTATATCATTAGATTGTTAACTACTGTTAGGTACTGTGTAAACAACGGTGAACAGTAAATATTTTTAATTTTAGTTCTTTGTGGGATCAATAATTAAAAAAATAACTAATTCAAATAAATTTTGAACGACATATTTATATCTGAAATTTGTAAACATAAAATTAAAAAGAACTAAAATTTGAATTATACTTTGAACAAATCTGTCGTCTGATATTTCCCTACTAGCTGATAATTTTTAAATGTTAATTTGTATTTACTGTAAAATAAATGTAATATTGTAATTAATAACTTCTTTGATTTTGCAGCTACCAGACATAGCTAATTCCAATACTACCTTCAATGTACCAACCTGCAAGGTGCATTGTTGGTAGTATTGGCATTAGCTATACTTAGGATTATCTGTAGACATTAGTAAAAAAAAAATATACTAGGATTCAATTTTCAGATGGCGTTTCAAATTGATTGGCATAAATTTTGACGAGTGGTAACTCTTTACCCCTATACTTATTATACTCTTTGCCATTTGGCACGTAAAATCGTGAATACAAAAGGAAAACAACGAGTTGACACTATTGACAGTGACTATTGTTGACATTGACAGTTTTTGTCAGTGATGTCAATCACTGCTGTTTCTGGACGATACCAAACCTGCCTGAACCAGTATTTCACCGTCCACCGTCAATTAATTCAATATTTAGACAAAAATTAATTCAATACAATTATATTATATAACATTTTTAACCGACTTCAAAAAAAGGAGGAGGTTCTCAATTCGACCGTACCTATTTATGCTTTTTTTTGAAACCGATTAATTCATTCCAAGAATTTAAGCCAAAACTCCGGTATTAGTCCGTTAGCTGGTTGACCTGCTGCTGCTTAATCTTCTAAGAGCTTCAATTCCCGGGACTGTTTGGGTCATACAAAGGACTTGTCGAATACTTTTATTAAAATTATAATTCTAAAACTAGATGATCCTGTAAACTTCGTTCCGCCTAATTTTTTTTTATCTCAACTTTAAAACCTTTCCTGGACTTTCACAAATTAGCTAAATTGGTTCAGCCTTTCTCGAGTTTTAGTGAAACTAACGAACGGAAATACATTTTTATTTATGTAGATTTCGGAGGGGTTTGTTAATGTTTGTTTGTGTATTAACGTAATCAGAAATCCAAATAAATTTATGCACGAGGTAATTGGCGGATTGATAGGACCTCTCAAACATTAGCGCGTTGTGAACATGCAGTCAAAATTAATTTATAATTAGCTAAATGTTAAAATTCAGAAGATTCCGGTTGTTCTTTTTCGATGTAAGAAGAGGCTTTTTCGCAGTAGGTAATGGGACAATAGCAGACTGTCGATGATGATAATAAAGTGCTTAATCTTACCAAAGTAAGTACCTATGTAGAGGTAGTTTGGACTTGAGAAATGACGACGAGGACTTTTTTCAATAAAGTAGACATTAGTGTCTCGTTTCAACTAGATATAACATTTTTATATGATTATTTTGTGAAAGTTACGAGTGGCAAGTGATACAAATTCCAAAAGACCATTTCCGTTGTTACATTAATAGGAAAAGTAAGCATAAGTATGCGTGTACACGCATTTGTATTTGGCACGAATAGGTAGACATTAAATTTTCAGTGAACAGTGGTTAAAACGATCCATTAATGGTTAATTTACAGTACTTAATCAATAATATTTTTATTACGTACATACCTTCATGCCATTGCCCCTGACAGAGCTACGGTGGAGTGCAAGAGTACCTACTTAGGTACATTCAAATGATTCCAAGAACGTATACCTACTTGCTTTAATTTTCTTTACGCGCATCGTGCTACGTCTGGTCGTTAGCGCAAAGTAATAGTAATAGCTACTTACAAAGAAAATATTCGAGGTACTGCAACTGCAATAACTGTAACTATATTTTCTTATGTGTAAATTCATTTTATAATTAGGTCTCTATCTTTCCTGGATCAGCTAAAAATATTCAATCAACACTATTCTTGTACTGTACACTATTGTTGACTGCCTCGTTGGCCGAGTGGTCGCAATTGCGACTGCCGAGCAAGGGGTCTCGGGTTCGATTCCCGGGCCGGGCAAATTATTACTGGGTTTTTAAAAAAATCTCAGTAGTAGCACGGAGTCTGGAACTGTGCCCGTTATATGGCAATAGGCTCACCCCCTATTACATGGGACTCATAACATAAATAGTGAAAAGTGGGTGTTACATTGTACAGTGGTATAATGTGCACCTCTGTCTACTCCTTTGAGGATAAAAGGCGTGATGTTATGTCATGACTATTCTTGTAATTGTCACAAAATAAAATCCACATTTAAATCTGCACTAAAAATAAAGCACAACCCTTACCCATACTCGACTCTATAAGTTTTTATTTGGATATAGAAAAGAAAATACATGGAATCTTTTTACAAAAAAGAAAAATACCTTTTTGTGCAACTCACACGTTAAAACTAAGACGTCCGTAAACCGCGGTTGTGTAGATATAATATTTGAACCTTAGGTAGTAGCCCGATATTTAGGTTAATCTACTAAAAAATTGGATTTCAAGCTTCAGCTTATGCTTATTTTATTTTATTTAATTAATGAGTGTAGATAATCTTCATGGATATATAAAGGAAACATCACAAAACTATGCTATATAAAATCAAGATTTTAATTAATTGAAGTTTCTTGACCATTCAGGTATCTACTAGAAAAAAATTAATAAATAACTGCTACATACACTCATATGAGTAAATTAAATTACAGATGATAAGGCTCCTTTGGTTCTAGGACTTAAGTGTGCATATTGTGAGACCACACAACTTACGCAAAACAAGATTTTTATTATTGAAGCTTAGAAGTTATACAATACGTACCTACACCATTTAAGAAACCAAGACTGAACGAAAAACTGCAAAGAGTTCCGCTTCCCAGTAGTTTTATCTACTTAATTAAAAAATCTGTTTATAAAGTTACAATAGAACAGAGAAAAAATGATTTGAGAAGTAACATTAGGAGGTACAGTAAACTGCACCATTAGTGCATATGCACTTGCAAGATAACGGCCAAAAACCAACATGTAGCGGATTATAAACGCTTATCGGTCTAGTTTAATTATATTTAAGTGTACAGTTGAATTTGCCCACTTTGTGACTGATAGACAAACCTCAAAACCATTTGTTATATTCCTTTCATATTTATGATCAAATGCTGACATTTCTTGAGAAGTGTAGAGAAGCATAACGTCTCATTTTCCCGAAGTTTTCGTGAGAATGAGACAACGAGTACCTACCACAAAAATAAGCGTTCGTATTGTAATAAATATTTACACACTAATATTTAGGACAGGACGAAGTTTAATAGGTGAGGAACCTGTATTATGGTGATGCAATGTAATAAAACATTTGTAGATTAATTATCATTAAACTATAACTGACACCTACATGGATATTGCTCGACAATGCTTTTACTTTCTTGTAAACCGTATATAGTCGTGGTTCCTTATCAACGTATAGGTATATCCTCAGCTCGAGTACCAAACCAAGCCACTACAGTTCACCTAGCACCGATGCAATGTCACCATGCACCCTGCGCACGCGTTCATAAAGACTGAAATATTTTCCACTCGCTCAGATCCAACGGCAACAAATCAACTGAAATCAGTCTCTTACGAATGAAATGTGGGACTGAATGGTGTTCACAACACACGCAAGTGGTTCATATTTACGCTTTTTCACACACGTGAACGTGAAGTAGGTGCAGCACTCGTTGCAATTGGTAACAGATATGTGTCTTGCTTTTTACCGTGCATTTTATCGGAGAAATTGGCTTGGAAAATGGTTCTCGATAATTTTCAAGTTCAGTTACATAAGTGCGCGTGCGGAGAATTAGTGCGGAATAGCGGATGTTTGGTGGTGCTCGACGGCCAAGTGGCGCACAGTTATAAGCTCTCACCCGCGCCACCGCCAGGCAGTCGCTGCTGGACCACCCTCATACACGTTCAGTTATAGTTTTAGTGCTGTGTGTGACAAAAACGAACATGTGTACCGCATTCCGGATATACGTTCTATCAGTTATCTGTGTCGTAGTTGCTTCGGGCAATGTGCACGGACCTCGAAGATCCCGTAGGATGGAGGTCGACGATTCTGCGCAGAACGAAATTGACAGTGGGCGAGCTGAGGACAGTTCTTGGTGGTGGACAGGAGAACTCTCTGTTCTACAGAAACTTTACGACGATTGCAGTGCGCAAAAACATATGTCCATGTGTTTGAAGGGCAAGGCTTTAATGGCACTCACGAGAGCAGTGGAACAGGTGATGCAGTCATGTGTTTAGTGTGTTGTGTTTGTCAAGGTTCAAGTGATACCGGTAGTGTAATCATGTTTCTGTTTGTGCTGTACAGGAGAGCGTTCAGCTCGCTGATGGGCTGACGTTGGTGAAGCAAGCTGACGCACCCTCCGCTGTTGCGGAGCCACGCTTCTTCCCTGGTATGTCCACAGAAGACAAGCTGGATACTATGTTGCGTACGAGATTCGAGCAATTAATGAGCACGCATACAATCTCAATGGATTTGGCTACGGAAGGCAGGGGTAGAGGTAATATTGTGTCCTAGCATCAATTTATGTTTTATGTAATCTTGAAGTAACTTTGTAACATGTTTCAAATGTGATTTTAGGTAAAAAGGTTTTACCCTACCTATTACTCGGTATTTTCACTACCGTAACAATTGTGGGAGGTATGGCACTAAAGACTCTAGCTGCCATTGCCGGTAAAGCTCTGATCGCCAGTAAGGTTGCCCTGACTATTGCTGGTATCATCGCTCTGAAGAAACTGTTCAGCCATGACGGAGCTCCCGCTGAAACTACCTTCCAAGTACATGCTGATGGACACCATAGGTAAAGTTTAAATATTGAAAAAAAAGTTAAGCATTTTCATACAACAATAGCTTTGCGTCATCAATTAAACTTTACTATGCATTTTTCATTTTAATTGAATAATGAAATTTTTGATTGAACTTAGGATTTACAACGACTGGCTTTTGCTTCATATTTTAATTTAAAATCTTTTAATTCTAGTATTTAATTCGAAGGCGGAACCTGTATGTGGTGAGGCCAGCGAAAGCAGGCGCGGTGGATCCGTACTCCTACGGCGAGCAGACGACGGCGAGCGTGTAGCCCTCGTCTACACGTCGGGAGCCAGCGCGCGGGCACACCGTCACACCGCCACAACGCCAACCAGCAACACTGCCACCACCAGACCCAGCTCACCACCGCCTGGCGACTCCATCGCGCCAACACACAAAATAACCTCAAACCAAAGTACCGTCCTTCGTGGACATCCTTCAGCGACGCAATGGTCGTCCATCTCGATTTCAAATCTATGTCAGTAAATTATTAAATGTAATTTATTTATTTGTGACTACAGTTGTATGTTTAATGTTAATTAATTTATTAAAGTGATGTAAGAGGAATGTTACATAAGTTTAGTTTCATTTAACAAACCTAATATAATTTTTCATCTCAAACATGACTCAGATCAATACACAAGTGTAGGTAAATCTACAGATATTATTATGAATGGAATAATATAAAATATACAAAGTGCTTAAAGAAGTAGACGTAAATATAATAGTTACATCATCATAACAATTGGCAATTAGACATGCGCTATTAGTTGGATTATTATGGGTGGTTTAATAAAGTATAAAATGTCTACGACTTGCTAATGAACGATACACAGTTTGATTTTATCTCCGTTAGTTAGCACAAATTAACGTGCGTACACACCTACAAATCACTTTTTCATATAGATATGGTGTTTTAATTATTGTTGCAGGCCGCTTTCTTTACACGCTCTAGTGGAGAAGAGTCCGAGAAATGTGTCTAGATTTTCCGTTAATGTGGGCGCTACGGCTATGAACGTGGAAAGTAGAAAGTTTTAATCGATTCACTGCACATGCACGAATACTGTTACAGTGCATAGCTATTTTATTATCATCTCTGTACCGTAGCGTGTATTTATTAGGCGGCGAGCGCTACTTACACGATCGATTAGTTCGTTAGAGCCGAATAAATAATGTGTTAATGAATGACGGAGTCCGTGTGTACATGCAGCTAACTAGCTAGATAGTGGAGCATTTTACAGGCAGAGGAACAGGTCCGCTGTGGTGTAGCGTTTGTTCGGCTGCGGAAGGTCAGCTCGTTGATTAGCCGTGCGCCGGTAAAGGCCGACCACAGCGCACGTTTGTGAGCCCGGACGCTGTTTATAATGCAGATATGTGTTTGCCCAATCGGTGCACGCTACGCTGGCTATATGGCATCGTTAATGCGGCTGGCGTCTCTTTGCATACGCAAATATAGGGCGGGCGGACCAACGCTGATTAAGCGGTGCAGCGGCGGTAGCGCTGGCTTCATTTCTGTATCAGGAATTGTGAGCCTCACTTGATTAGTTTTTAGCTCGTATGTTTATATGACAAATTCAGCGGTTCGTGTAAGTTTGCTTTGAATTTGGTGGGTTAGATAGATAAATGAGTTAGTTTGATTTGATTATTATTCCAAATTCAAACCATTTGAGAATAAGATAACTTAGTATGTGCAACGCATAATCAATGTAGCAGCTGTTAGGTGAGATCCCCTAGGGACGTCGGTCGGCTCTGGCCGCTGTCGGTGCTAATATTATCTGCTTGCTTACCTTAGTCGGTTCAGGTGTCAGTGTCGTCCACCCATCTGTCCACACCTCAATACTTGATGGCTGTCTACTCCTCGAATTAGACCAACAATTCAAGTGATGTCTCCATAGATTACTGATTTAGGTGCTAATGCAAATTGTGTGCTAAATGGAACTTAGCTAATGCACAAAGACATACATGTATAAACAGCCGGTATCTATATTGTGTATAAACAGAATTAATAATAGTAACGTCGTAGCGAAAGTAATGAGGTTTCTATATATTGGACAATCTACGTGAGTAATGCATTTTGTCGATGTTCATACGTTTGTGTAAGTAAATAGAGGACGCGAGGCTGCGGGCGTCACTCGTACAGCGAAGTTACTTTACGGGCGAATGGTCAAAGTATTCGACATAAACCTATTTTGTTCTCTTCTTATATTGGATGTGCGCTCCCTTCTTCGCCTTCACCCGCTGCCGCTGTCCACTGCTGTAGGGTTGCTCCTGTACGCCGAAACACACAATTAATTACCTTTATCATTTTTTATTAATGTTTGTTTAGCAATACATTTTAAAATACAGCAGCATGTCTATTACGTATATAAAATAAAAATAATGTTTCTTAAATTAATAACGCAACGTAAAGACGCGACCATATTACACGTCGTCGTCATTATTAATGTCTATCTTATTTACATTACACATTAACTGCAATTAATTAACTTTTTAACAATTTTGTTCCAACAATTAACTATGCACCTAACTAAGTAAGTCGAACAAGATATAGGAAAGGATTTTTTTAAAATGGACAAATTGTTAAAGTAGGTTTTACATTAGGCATATTACAGCCAGTAAATGTAGTAATCCAAATGCGCCAGGGCTGCATACAGAGCCGTTAACAAGCTGGTCTAATCCAAGCACATTACAGAAGCCACTTTCACTCAGTTACGGTTTGTTCGACTCGTGTGACTCCTGATACTATGCGCTGATATCGGATTACCACTCCGTAGACCTTACTTTCGTTAGTTTTCATGCGATAGCTTTCTTTAGAAATTTAATTTCAATTGGAGGTGCTCTGATTGAATGTGTGGAACAGCCCTGGCTGGGAGGGGGTTATGTGAGGAAGTTTTGCCGGGAATTATGTTGGTACGTGCCAAAGCCATTATTGCTGTGAGAAAAGTTCATCAATTTCATTTCTGGCCCCATGCACGTACGCCGCGATCCGAGCTCGTGCCTCATACCTAACTGATATCGATGATGTTCCTTTTATTATTACAGCCTTTTTATCTCGCTTCATTTGTTACTTTGTTCTTATGTACCTGCAAGATGTTTGTGTCAAGATTCGTCATCATGTTATGTATAAACCAAAATGATAAAAATAATTCAAATTCGGTGTTTAGTTAAAAATGTTATATAAGAATGTTAGTTACCATATTATATGAAAAAAAAACCGTTCTTTAGAAATATGTAATCACGGTATAAGTATCGATTTGTATTTGTTAGTTAGTAATACAATATTAGTTCTAAACAATTTACATCCAGCTACATCACCTGTGACATCACTGAAGAAAAACTACTCCTGATCAATAGAAAAATCTTCAACTACCACCTTGAGTCCTTGACAGTCATTTCCAAAACTTTCGTATTGATTAAATTTCCAGATTTGGAAACCCAAAAAAGTAGTACCCAATTATATTACTGCCATATTTTATGTCAGACGAGTGAAATGTATGTGATGTGTGTAAAATGTAACGAAGTGAAAGTAATGCGCGCGCACGCGTACAATTGTTAATGGAATTATTGAAATCTAAGTGCATTTCAAATTGCTCAGTAAACTGGAACTTTCTAATTTTCCAGCAAATATGATTTTGTCGTAGAACATAGGGGCGGATGATATTCTGTGAGTCTTGGTACGGTATTACCTAAAAGTAATTGTTCATTTTTAGGAAGAACTCTTGGAACCATGTTCGTTATGAACCTTTTTCATCGACTTTAATACGAACTAACGGAATTGAGTTAAGAGTTTCATGGTTCGATCTTCAGGTTATCCATTACTGAATAAAAAATCCCGTTACTTACTACATTAACTTGTCGAGTACCGTATTTATAGACACAATTAAAGAACAATAGGTTGCGGTCACCGGTGACCGCTTGGTGTTTGACAGTTTAAAACGTTCTCCTAAGTGTAACAAACGCATCAAAATTCGTCCAGCTAAATCAAGAGATAATCGCCACAAACATATGTTACATACAGGTCAAACTAAGAACCTTCTTCTTTTGAAGTCGGTTAAAAACCACCTCTATCTTTCATTCATTAATATTAAACTACAGTCGCTAGTTCCGTACATTAAGTAGTTCAATTTTCCGATGCTCTATGCACATTAAGTCTAATTTTCCAATGATTAATATATTAGATAGTATTGCAGTAACTGATAGTCTGGTTTTATTTGTAGACATGGGTAAGTAGTGATCGTAACGGGTCGTACAGTAAGGTGCTATTATAATTATGTGCATATAATTCTGTACATAATCGGTGCAGTCGGTAAACGATGTAGTACAGTAGGTTTCAATTGCCAATGTACCCGGATGAAAATTAAAAAGTATGACGTTTGAACTTAAAAAACCACTTTGATTGATTTCATATTGATAATTTTAATAACGCATGAGGAAGGGTGTCTAAAAGACTGGCAGCTTTGCTGCGTCCAATGGCAATGCTTGTCCTTTGCCCAAAGTACCCAGGTCCACGGAAGGAAACTCAAAATTAAATAAAAGTGTCGTAATATTTTAAATTTTTAGGAGAGATTCAATAACAATGACAGCCGATTAAATATCTATTTAAAAAAATATGAATTTCTGAATAACTATGTATAGGCAATCCTACTTTACAATTGCTTGTGGATCATGGCCTAAATGTTCAACTCGTTGATATACGTACTTACCTATGTAAAGATTCTTAACGATAAAACTATATTTATGCACGATTAATCGGTTACATTTGCAATTCATGAATTTAACACTTCTGGAGCTAATGTTTGTTATGATTTTTTTATACATTTAATTCGCAAAAAGTACTCACACTAATTTATTTTTACGACTTGTATCCATTTAGGATACAAGTCTACGTGAAGTATTACAACTAGACTTGGCAATACTGTAAGATACTTTAAAATATCAAAATGATGGGTGCGCGGTTGGTAGACGACCCCAATTAGCTGCGGCAGGGTGGTCAGGTGGTCATC